ATTATGTGTGTCTGCTCACGCCAAGTGTCATTAACAGCTGTCGTGGTTTTGTCATTCACGATTATGATTTCATTGGCCAGGAAGTCAGTTGCACTGTGGATAACGGATGTTAAGTTACGAGTGGCTTAACGATTGAATTCCTCGGCCGATGAGATGGGACAGGTGTCTGTTGGATAGTTTGATGAAGGTTGTTAAGTTCTGGATTGATTCGACGCGACTTGGGTGGGTATGTTCTGTGAAACGTCCTTCTTGTGTTCCGGATTAAAATAAAAATCTGTACTCAATGCCCTTACGCGTGCCATTGCGTCATAAACCAACTACCGTGTATGTGCATGCAAACGGGTGCGTGAAGTACATTGTTACACACCAACTCTCACATGACCCAATCGTTAACCAAAGCAACCAAAGTATGGAAATCGTACACAGTAGTAAACTGTTTACCTTCTAGTCCATTCACATATAAAAGAGATTAACCTGCCAGACACCTGGTCACCCAGAATCTTCAGTGCAGTTAAATTGTTACGGCTTGAATTACAGATACAGCTTGCACAGATTCAGCATAGCCACACAGCACATTAGCTTCACAAGAATTCTATGAAAGGGAAAAACCAGAGGAATCAGAAAAATCCATGCAAGCATGGGCAGAACATGCAAACTTCAAATATACAGTCGTTAAGAGTCGGGATCGAACCCACATCCTCCTGTATACCAGGCAAGGTAGTTATGGTGATATGCTGGGAGACCAGCACTTAGGCTTCACGCCTGTAGTCTCTAACTTTAGGTAATATGCTGATCCACCCTTATTGGACTTATGTGAAAAAGAGCTTCATAGCTGATCCATTCCTCTAGTCTAAATAAAGATTCTGATTCTATTGGCATTTGCAATATATTGCTACAGGATACTGCGTCTAAACTGGAGCCATAGAGTAACCAATGTGGAAGTAAGAAAAGGATCGCAACATAAAAGAAGACGAATTGATGATGCAGGCTGCCCAAAGCCATCATGCTAAACCACACAATGGAAATGTCGGCGTGGGTAGAAATAAACTTATTTAAAAAAGTTTTTGAAAACAACGGTTCGATTAACGAACGGTCGAGAAGTACGTCAATGGCGCCTGAGACACGTGGCGCCTGTTTTTGTGCGAGCCGATTCCACAGTTTAGGGACCGCGGCGTTTTTTACATACACAAATATATAAATAATAAGGCGTTCAAGCAAATGTCAATTGCTAACACTTTATTCAAAAAAGTACTCTCCTGAGTCACTTTTGTATCTAAAACATTAACCATTTTTACATTATCAAGTAAGACCGACTGAGCAACCTGGCTATCACAGATCACAGCTCAAGGAAATGAGACAAATAATAGTGTGAGACAAATAATAGTGTTCTGATAACGAATACATAAACTACCCTTTTCATTATCTGAATCAACAATGAAAGTATTCTGTACCCATCAACGCATTAATCTGAATTCCAAGTCCGAGGATACAGGGCGGCCATTCTGTGCAGTTTAAAAATGAAAAATTAACCCGTAAAAACAAAGTTTCTCACTATAAATCCTTTATATGCGTGGCGGCTAGAGTCCTCTCGTCCTCTGGCTTGAGATGGCTGCCACCTATGGGTCAGATGATTGCCTGCCACCATTAAGCAATTGGTAATTAAATATAAAAAAAAATCCTAAAAAGTGTAAAGTTATGGGAAAAATTTTTCACGAAAATAAATTGTCACGCACAACGAGTCTGTGTGCAAAATGTCAGCTCGATTGGATAACGGGAAGTGGGTTAAAAAACGACCGAAAGATTTGCACGGTCGTAAGCGCGCAAGCAGCAAGCAAGTGAACTTAATATAAAGGATTTTAAAACTGAAAATACATAAAATAAAAAGAATTTAACCCGAATAATGGCCTGTTTTTTTGTTTGTTCACAAACCATAATGTATTAATCACCTTCCGATTACTGTATACGCCTGCATTCACCTCCGATTGACCAACAACAAAGAAGTTATTGATGCTTGTGAACGTAATTCAACAAAGGCGGCCATTGAGGGGGATCTCGGACGCCTTTTAGTTTTGAAACACTTTGGGGGCCAAAAAACGAGGCCCAGCCAATTACACAAAAATAAACACCGAAAGTTCAGATCTCGTCCCTGCAAGTTGCCAAGAGACACCACATCGGCCCAAACGCCAAGCAACATCACGCTGCTCAATCCTCCCATAGACTGAATCAAGCAAAGAGGTGCTTTGTGGATGGACAGTATGTTGAAATTATTTTGCAGTGTACATAGTCAACCATTTTGAGACCGCCGCTGCCAAAAATCGCCAGAGCTGCACATTCAAATGCCCAGAATCGACTATGAGCACATATATTCATCATTCATTATGCCTTTCAAGCCTCCTTGCATCACAGGGGGAAAGGGTGAAATATGATTAATGCCGGAACACAAGAACGACCCAACAGATGTCGCTACTCAATAAAATCAACAGTCAGCATTGCTTTTTATTGAGATATTTTAATTTGACAATATTAATAAGTATCAATGTCCAGTAATTTTGTACGGGTTGCTGCAGCCAAACCGCTTGAGCATGAATCCGTGCAGGTGCCTGTCTGGGCGTGGCCTATACACGTGCACGTGTGGCTCAGGAGCCAATCCCCGAGTCGCCGTTTTGCATCACGTGACGTGGCACGCGACAGACCCTGTCAATTACTCACCGAGAACGCAACGGCGGCGAGATGCAGGACAAGACGAATACTACTGGGCACCGATGGACTGAAATAAAATCCCCAGCTTTGTTCGGTTTAACATTCAGGCCAAATAATAAAGTCTGTTTTGGGGGTTAGATCCCTTGAATATGAATGTCTCATTTAGACTCTGCTTTCTCGACAGACCTGTTCTCCACCTAAAGACGGCTGCTTGCGTTGTGGCTGAAACGTCGTGAGAATTTATTTTATTTTATTATTTTCCTTCCACGCGACTTTACCGAAAGAACCAAGAAATATGAATGTCTCGTTAACCCACCACCAGCCGACAGAATACGTTAACGGGTTTGTCACGCAAACGAAACGTATTAAGTTACTTCGGCACTCGCTGGTGTTGTAAATGTTGTGGATTCAGAGAAAATAGGACTGCGTGTCTTTGTCGTGTGAATATACTTTACGTGTGTGCATTTGGAAATATGACCGTACTGTATATATGCGTTGGTGTGTTCATGTGTATGTTTTAATTAGTGATGTGCACTATAAAAACGTTGCCACTGGTGGAGACAAAGGCGGTCGGAAGTGTTGGCCACAAACTCCCTCGTGTGCGATGTGGGCCGACAAGTGCTCGCTAACAGCACTTGCCCCAACAATCTGTTAAGGCTATACGGGGGAGCTTTGTCTAATTAATGTACAAAGCTCATGCGAATATATATTTGCATGTATATGTCTGTGTATGCTCTATGTGCGTGTGTCAGAATTCATCTGAATCGGTGTATGTATGTGGCAAGCTGTTAACTACCTCGCCTTGTACACAGGAAATCGTGGGCTCGATCTCGACCCTAATGCCTGTATATTTGGAGTTTGCATGTTCTCCCCGTGGTCGTGGATTTTTTTTATCCAGGTTCTCTAGTTTTTCCCTCCGCATTAAGAAACATGCGTTTCGAGTGGCTGCTGCTACAGTTTTACACGTGTTAAGCCACTTCATTAGCCAATCATTTGTGGGCACGTCACTTCTGAAAAAGTGCTACCTCGCTCAGTGCGTCTTACCTGAAAAAATAAAAAATAAACTTTTTTTAAATGTGAAAGTAAATATAAGCTTATAAAAGTATGTGTACATATACACAGAATGTGTGTTTATGCGTGATGAACGGTGGCCAGGAAAAACAGGTTGTGCGTGGTGGCGGTTACAGAAGGCCAAGTCAGGTTGTGAGTTGAATGGTTAAAAGCAAACCCACCCCCCCTAAAAACTAGTGCAAAACTAATATTAAGATCAATGAAATGAAATAGATTACTATATAAAAGGGTGAAAAATATACGAAATACAGCAGCCGGCAACAGAGGCATGCTTGCTTCTGCAGCCGTCTGGAACACTATTCCGATACTAGGAAAGCACTGGGAGCTGTGCGCTCTTAAATCTCGATTGATAACAATTTCTAGAGAACTGCTTTTCGTGTTTAGTTGATTGTCCTTCCCTCGCACCTCTAATTAGCACGTTTTCAAACGTACGGTGCAGAAGAAGTTCAACATACATACACACGCTTTGGTTTTTTCAGTAAAGTCACAGTTCCTGCAGTCACGAAAGCTCCAAATCATTCATACACACATTCTTGTCCACGTCCCCTGCTGGTCTCATTCAATTTGGATGATTTCCTAAAACAATAATACCTCGATTCACATCTCCCCCTTTTGCATCGTTTCGCCAAGACTTCATCACTTTATGAATACCGCTCCCCGATTTGCGTCACCTCAATCCCATACTTGCGTCGTCCACAGCATCGTTCATCCTTTCTCATTATCCGTCGTCTCTCAGCCGTCGCCTCCACCACCGTACCCTGTAGACCGCTTCATCAGCCACTTCGTTGTACTATCATTTGTGATGGCCAGGTTGCTTCTGAAAAAGAGCCATATTATCAGTGGACCTTACCTGGTAAAAAATAATAATTTAGTTTGAGTTTAATATCGAGGCAAATGAAACATTTAGTGGTATCGAGTGGAAATGTACTGAAACTGAAGTAAAAAAAACCCAAAACCCCATCAATATTTGGAGAGGCTTCAATGCCTCCCGTATTTTGACAGGAAATAGACGCGGTTGTTTGCTTTTGTCGTTTGCCAGCGCTACACTGGAGCTATTGAGGCTAGGTCTTGTCTTGGCTGGGTCAAAGCCAAGCCATCCCCTGGTTGCTGCCTTTAAAAGCTGGGGCTCAAACTCCAGGCTCGTCACTCCGAAGTGAAGCTTCATCAGCCTCAACTCAAGCCCTTCTTTCTTGTCGTCGACAGCGAAAGCAGAAAACCCCGAAAGCAAAATGGCCGCCGCTATTCAAGCTCTCCTCGTCCTCGCCCTCTTTCACCTCGCCACTGCGACGCGTAAGTTGGATGGAATCTCTGTGTGAGTGTGAGTCTGTATTTTTGTGTGTCTATCTGTGGATCTCTGTGAGTGCGAGACTGCGTCTGACTTTGAGTGTCTATGGATGTCTCTGTGCGAGTCTGTGTGGTGGTGAGGATTTTTATCCAGGTTCTCTAATTTTCCCCTCCACATTCAGAAACATGTGTTTAGAGTGTTTGGCTGCTGCTATACATTTCCACATCAGCCACTTTGTTAAGCTATCAATCGTGACCAGGTCGCTTCTGAAAAAGAGCTACATAGCTCAGTCGACCTTACATGGTAAAATAAAAAAAAGATTAAGTCTGTGCATCTATTTGTGTGTCCGTGTGTATGCTTCTATGGCTGTCTTAACCTTTTTGATTTCTGTGGTGCTGGTCATTTACCCGCTTGTGTGCCGTTACTTACCTAAATAATTACTACTCGTGAACAACACTTGCCCCAACAGTTTAAGGCTATAGGGGGAATCCTTGTGGGAGCAATGTGGTGTAGTGTGTAGCGCACTGTGCTATAAACCGGTGACCTAAGTTCGATTCCCACTCACAACTAATAACGGTGGAGAATATTTGAACTGGTCCTGGGCCTTTCTTTCACTCATCATTAAAAATAATTGTAGGGGTCAGTGTATGGACATCACCAGTGGGGAGACCAAGGCTGTTATGCCTTCTAACAGCACTTGCCCTAACATGCTATGCAGGCAATGAAGGGGATTGTTTTTGTCTCTGTGTCTATTTGTGTTGCGTGCGTGTCTCTGCCTTGCCACAGCTGTCGTTGGCAAGCAGACTGTGAGCACTGTATCTACGGGATTCCTGGGCCACCCTGTGGGTGAGTGAGATTCATTACAACTCAGCGCCACTACACTCACTCACTGAATCACAATGCGAAACGGTCTAAACAGTGCTGTTGCCAGTGCATTGGAAAAATGTGAATGAATGGAGTGCCCAATTAGTGCGGTTATGATGGCTCGAACCTTCGATTAACACGGTTGGCTATGAAGGGTGCGAAAGATGTTCAACATAGTGACAGTCATATCGTATATTATATTGCTCTAAGGCGATTTTAGTTAACGTGTTGCATGGTCTAAAATCTAAATAGACATGTGGATGACGGGGCATGATGAGAAAGCCCAAATAAGTGACCTCCAATTAAATAAATAAAAACCTGTAACTTGAAAAAAATGGCGACATGTTAAAAACACACACACACAACCCATATAAAGGAGGGACCATTCAAAGAAATGAAAGCATAGGCCAGCAGGCAGCATAGTTCAGCAGTCGGCAGAATCTTAATTGTTTAAATGTGGCCACAGGCCAACACGCACGCTCATATTCTCACGCGTACATAGTCGCTCACATCCTAATACTCACTCACATTTTCATGCACCCACTCACACATGCTCACAAACACACATTCTTACATGCACATAAACTCTCATTTGTGTACGCATTTGAACGTGTTTTTTTTACAATGTGTCTCCCTACCTCCCGATGTCTCATCGTTAACCCGTGGACAACTTATAGTGGGTAAAGCGTTGGCCCATTTTACTCACATCAGTCTCACGAATAATCCTGTTCTATATACATCTATATGCAACGCATGATAGAGCCTGAACCCACATTCTCCATTCTATTCCCTCTCGCTATTATAGGAGGCCTGGGCTATGGAGGCCTGGGCTATGGAGGCCTAGGCTATGGAGGCCTGGGCTATGGAGGTCTGGGCTATGGAGGTCTGGGCTATGGAGGTCTGGGCTATGGTGGTCTGGGCTATGGTGGTCTCGGCTATCACGGAGCGGCCCTTGGAGGTGCCTACACGCACCATGCTGGTAACAGATCCATACACTATGCCACACACTCGACCACCCGTACAAAACAAGTCATGGTCAAATTAGCATTGGAAATTCCACACTCCCATGGCAAGGGGAGATTTGATTCACACGACAAACCACTGTTGATCTTCCCTACTAAGTGTACTTGTTTTAGCCATCAACCAAGATTTTAACTCTCAACTTCATGATTGCGAGCTGCTCAGCTCTATGGCGGAGCCACCTGGTCAGTTAGGCTCAGCTGCTCTCTAAACGAACATCAGCACCCGCCCTCTTCGGACAGCCACGCCCACTCGACCCATCTGGACCAGTCAAAGCAGAGCGGTTGGTAGACCCACTAAGATATGCAGCTATTTTTCAGAAGCGACCTGGCCACAAACGATAGCCCAACGAAATGTGGAAAATTAAATCAGGCAAACACTCTGAACGCATGTTTCTAAATGTGGAGGTGAAATAAAACCCCCATGTGACCACCACGGGGGAGAACACACAAACTCCAAATATACAACATGCATCGTCTGGGTCGGAATCGAACCCATGACCTCCTCTATACCAGGCGAGGTAGTTAACATCTCAACCACCGTTTCACATCAATCCCCTGTCAACCTCACATCGAATCTCTTCCCCCCGCCCATTAAACACAGAACTGTCTTTCCCTAGCAGCTGAGCTCGTTCACCCTTATGGTGGGCTCGGATACCATGCACCCCCTATCACCGCGGTGGGTATGCTGCACGTGCATGCCCTTGCATGTGTCCCCCACCCCTACCTAATTGTTTGAATTAAATCTTTAAATCCCCTCCCCTACTAACACCATCACCACGACACCCAAAGATGAACGTGAGTCACGAGCAAAATTGGTTTGCCATGATTGCAGTCAATATTGAATCTATTACGGTAGAGGGGAGTGGAAAAATGTATGTATAGGAATAAGGATAAATCCTATTCTGAAGAATAGGTTTTCCCATTTTTTCTGGCAACAAAACAGATGTTAAGATGTTAAAACACCAAACTTAAACCTTTTGCAAGGAATTATGTCTGCATTAACCACATGTTCTTGTGGTGAAAATACAAACAAAAAACATGTTCTGAAAATATATGATACATTGTCTTTGAAACTGATTGGTCCACACCAGAGAAAGCTTTCTTTAGAGCTTAGTCTCAAACACAGTGTTAGACCAGAGGACGCCAAATCCTATTCTTATTCTCATCATGGATGAAGGTGCAGCAATACAACTGCCACTGGTGGCAGGTGCCTCAATGAGAGGTGAGCTATACAGGATATTTGATTTATCCGGTCTAATTTTCAATGCCGGAACGTAGGAGTTCACGGAGGTGGGAGTCACTTCTCACAGTTCCCCTCCACCGCACGCAATCTGGCGATCGGCAAAAATTGTGCCAAGCCCATTTCATATTTCCGGGTGAAGAGATGCAGAACTGCATTTCCCCAATGAAATCATATCTCAGAAGTTAAGCAGATCTAGAGCCTGGATAGCTCTTAGATTGGGCCACAAACCGCCAAGCATGGACCGGGTGTCAAGGGCTGGTATAATTGGTTATGTAAAGTTATTGCCACGTTAATTCAGTAGCGACCGGTTCTATTTGTGCGGAATATTTTCGCTTCAAAACGCAAAGGCTCAAACGTTCGGGAATGTTGCGTCGGTGGTGTATGGGGATTTAAATAGTCTAATCTTTAACGATCATCATCGATATCATTAATTTCAACAACCACTGTTGTTGTTTTATAATGAAACCTAACCGGTAGTTTGTCCGAGGTTAAAGCAACAGCAACCGATGACAAGACGGTAGTTGGGCCATGAGTATTTTGTGGAATAAAAATGACGTTTCGATCACAACACAAGCAATGACGATCGCTTGTGTTGTGATCGAAACCTCGTAATTTAATTAAATTTACTTTTCGTTTTCATATTTTTTTATATCTACGTGATTTTACCGAAATAACCAAGAATATGAATTCCTGCAGTTTTAAGTCAAAACACAAAACACGTACCTAGCCAACTGTGCTAATCGGAGGTGTGGAGGAAGGACAACTAAAGACGAGAAGCAGTTCGCAAGAAATCAGTTTTCAATCTAGATGATGTAAAATTACCATGCCTCCAGTGACTTCCTAATATCGGAAGAGCGTTGCAAATGGCCGCAAGAGTGCATCTGAAAGGGCCGCGCGATGATGCGGTGACGGTCTTTGTTCGATGGCCAGCCAAAAGCCGCTGCGAGCGTGTGTATGTTAGAACAACTATCACACCCGTACGTTGCAAACCGTGCTAATTCGAAACGTGCTGGGCGAGGTTTAATGTTTAACCACCATTTAACCCTCCATCCTGTGTGTGTTGTTTGCAGCCCTCGGCGGACTCGGCTACCCCCTCGGCATTGGCGCTGGTGTGGTGGCTCCTCACGCGGTGAAAGGCAAAATCGGTGAGGGTTTCTCTTTCCCGCCGGCAAATTCCCGGCGCATAAATGTTCCTTCGTTTATACAGCTCAGCTACGGAGTGTTGTTTAATGCGTGTATTAAGGACTGTGCTCGTTGACTGTTGGATGCGTCATTTACTCTCAAACGTGAATCTCCGTTAACCTTTGTACTGCGATATGTGCTGTGTATGCAGCTGCCCCGTTGGCGCCTTTTGTTGGTGCCATCTAGGTCGTCACCGGTAAGTGAAGGTCGCAGAGACACCATAGGCTCATGCAGAGACCCGTACACTAAGACAGAGACTCATACACCTACCCAGACTCCCAAAACACTTCTCGAGAGACCCATAACTGTTCCCAGACATCCATAGACTTACAAAAACTCAGACCTATGCAGAGATCCTCAAACTTGAGAAAATAATAGCCAAACCTCCCGAACCGAGTATAACCTTCCAAAATAGAGTATTGAAGCTTCTGGGTGGATTTGTGGCAAAGCGATTAAAAGTGTAGAGATGCACATTCCTCGACACAGTGGAGGGACACGTGGATTAGAGAACACATGAAGGTTATTGTCCCCGAACGACAACAATAGAGGGTAACGCTCACAACAATGACCAGAGCAACCACATGGATGATAAAATGTGGTAAGTTAACACAGTGATGAGAACATCTGCAAGTCATCTCAGTCAGTCAGGATATAGCAGCTCGGTTTGTAACCATGACCTGCCAGCATCAAGTGCCTTCCACATATCACCTGACCCAGTCAACGTGCACTTAGCCTTGCAAAGCACCATTGTGACGTCACCATCATTTTAGTGGTGATTCGACAGGGGCTGTTGTTGCTGTTGTCTAAATGTGTCGTGGGTGTGTTTGTATGTCCGTGTACAGTGACAGGAGAATTGCTGGGCGATCGTTGACTTGCCACACCAGGTAACTATTCCATGCAAATGTGTTCCATTATTCTTGGCACTAGTTGGCCCATGCCCGCATTTGCGGCGTTAAAAGTTCGTGCTGCCTTCTGAACTTATTTGACGCGATGTTTTAATTTCCTTAGATCATCTGGAAAGTTCATGGTTCACGAATTCCTCCTCTGTATGCGGAGTTTTATTCCCCAGGCCCGACGCCTTTATCATTATGCCTCACCCATCCCCCAGACACAAGCATGGCTTGTTCTTTTAAAAGGAAGTGGCAATTATTTTTCACCCCACGTGGGAACTAGCAAATTCTGGGCTAAACCCGAGTCGATTTCAGTGAGAAATTGTTAGAGTGTATGATCGGGGTTGTGGAAGGAGGGGAGGGGACACGTATTATGTATATGTTGAACTTCTTTGGCGCCGTACGTAGCCAACCGCGCTCATCGGAAGCGTGGAAGGACAACCAACTGAACACAAAAAGCTGTTTTAAAGAAATGCGTTATAAATATAGATGATTTTAAAGTTTATAGCTCCAGTGGTGAAGGGTTCTTAAAATATTCTTAGAGATACAGGTTTGGTCCGATCTTTGTGTGGGCCTAACCCACAGATTGATGATTTATAATACTGGCTATGAAGGCAGACTACGTTTGCTGAGTGCAATTTAATGATCTGTGATGCGTGCGCGTCTGTGCCCAGCCCTGCGTCCCATCTGCAGTCACTTCAAACAGAAGTGGTGCCTGCAGAAGTGACTCAAGACTCCGGTGAAGAAGTGACTTGAGGAAGGTTATGGACAGCCTCCGCCAACCACCACCCACCAAAGGGAGCATAGGTTCACCACCTACTCCCCTCCCATACCTGCCCATTCATACCGACTGACCCACCCATCCTACCCAAGCCCTTGACTCTTACACAAATTCTCATCATCGGTGCAATACTATCTTTTCGCCGTTCATTAAGTTCCTCACCCCCTACTCCTATGCCAATTTCCTGCAAATTACGCCATTCGGACCCTTGCGTGCATGAGTGTGTCATCGTGTGACAGAGTGAGTGTCGTGATGCAAGTGGGTGGGCAGGTTTGCCGGCGTCTGTCCATAATGTTTTTCTGAACTTCTCGGCATTAACACAAATGACGATGAATGAACACGACCTGGAAAACAAAATCTACCACGAATAGCAAAAAATATATATATTCTTTTTTTAAAACGAACCCTGACATTAATCGTAAAACAAATATATCTGGTGGCGATGGAAGCACGCACACGGATTCCGATTCTGAAATTTGGGGGAGTAAATCAATTTGGTGGCTGAAATTAGTCTGTGATGAAATCTGTTAAAGAAAATATATTAACATTTTAATCATAATGGGACTTAGGAATCGACTGTTCGACTGGACAGAAACCAAAAATAAATCAGCTGGATTGGGATGGTGGGTGCAACGCCAATGGGAGTTTGATTCACAGATTAATATAAATACACGAATGATATCTGGGTTACAAACGCCCCTCCCCATCTCTGTGTGTGCCCCCCTCCCACTGCACTGAGTATACACCTATCGTTACTTAGCACTTGTCAGCTCCAGAGTTTTGTTTTAACCGGTCGTGAAGTGAGGACACCTCCAAATCCTCCTCCAAGAATTCGAGATCATTGTGGGTCAAAGATCTGGTTGACTTTGGCCCCAAAACGTTTGATAGTGGTCGATCGAACATTTTCGACACCGGATTATGTGTGTCTGCTCACGCCAAGTGTCATTAACAGCTGTCGTGGTTTTGTCATTCACGATTATGATTTCATTGGCCGGCAATTCACTGTGGATAACGGATGTTAAGTTACGAGTGGCTTAACGATTGAATTCCTCGGCCGATGAGATGGGACAGGTGTCTGTTGGATAGTTTGATGAAGGTTGTTTATTCGGGATTGATCCGACGCGACTTGGGTGGGTATGTTCTGTGAAACGTCCTTCTTGTGTTCCGGATTAAAATAAAAATCTGTACTCACTGCCCTTACGCGCGCCATTGCGTCATAAACCAACTACCGTGTATGTGCATGCAAACGGGTGCGTGGAGTACATTGTTACACACCAACTTTCACATGACCCAATCGTTAACCAAAGCAACCAAAGTATGGAAATCGTACACAGTAGTAAACTGTTTACCTTCTAGTCCATTCACATATAAAAGAGATTAACCTGCCAGACACCTGGTCACCCAGAATCTTCAGTGCAGTTAAATTGTTACGTCTTGAATTACAGATACAGCTTCGACAGATTCAGCATAGCCACACAGCACATTAGCTTCACAAGAATTCTATGAAAGGGAAAAACCAGAGGAATCAGAGAAAAATCCACGCAAGCACGGGCAGAACATGCAAACTTCAAATATACAGTCGTTTAGAGTCGGGATCGAACCCACATGCCCCTGTATACCATGCAAGGTAGTTAACATACTGCCATTATGGCGATATGCTGGGAGACCAGCACTGAGGCTTCACGCCTGTAGTCTCTAACTTTAGGTAATATGCTGATCTGCCCTTATTGGACTTATGTGAAAAAGAGCTTCATAGCTGATCCATTCCTCTAGTCTAAATAAAGATTCTGATTCTATTGGCATTTGCAATATATTGCTACAGGATACTGCGTCTAAACTGGAGCCATATAGTAACCAATGTCGAAGTAAGAAAAGGATCGCGCATAAAAGAAGACGAATTGATGATGCAGGCAGTAATGAGAAGGAAACTTGCACTATCCGGACACACATGAGGATGGACAAAAGAAAAATGTAAATTATGTTAGGCAAAATTGAAGGAACCAGAAAGAGGAAGACACCCACTACGGGACCTCTGGTCATGGATCAAATTAAATAAACAAAAAACTTTTATTTTTATCAATTTGAACCTATCTACGTGAATTTGATTTCTCTCCGCCTGATGACGACCACTTGTGTTGCGATGGAAACGTAGTTTTATTTTTATTAATTTAACTTATCTATGTGACTTTACCGAAAGATGCAAATAATATGAATTTCTGAAGTCACGAAAGCTTTAAGTCAATATCTTTTTCGTACATCATGGGAGGCGTGGGGGAGATTGGAAGCAACAGTTTGTACAGATTATGTCTTAGTTGAATGTCAAGGTTTTTCAATTATTCCATGGCAGCAGTAGCTGCTGTACGGATTGCAGCGATACCGCCAGGGTGTGGAGTAGAAGGTGCAACTCTTCGGCTATGGGTTTGACGGTTTGGTGCTTCACCACGGTCGCAGTTTGGCGATTCTTTGACATTTTCTATTCATGGAACGACGTGTACGCCGAGAGTCTCCCGTGCTTGCTTCCAAGCGCGGTTCAGTGTGGGTCCATAGCTGTCGTCAATGACAAAGGATCCCGGTTACTTCCACGGTTGTGTGGTCGATTATTTTTTTGCTACGTTCATAGATGCCCCCACCATTCGGACCAATAGATTGTGACGATGAGACACTGCCCTATGTACCTGTGTATGTTGAACTTCTTTCAGACGGTAGGTAGCCAACCATACAAATCCCAGGATGCTGGGAAGAACAAGAAACCAAATACAAAATCAGTTTTAAAGAAATGTTTTTACTACGCGTTTTCCTGTGTTCCTTGCTGCCCAAAGCCATCATGCTAAACCACACAATGGAAAGATGTCGGCGTGGGGAAGAAATCAACTTATTTTAAAAGTGTTTTGAAAACAACGGTTTTATTCAACGGTTCGATTAACGGTCGAGAAGTACGTCAATGGCGCCTGAGACACGTGGCGCCTGTTTTTGTGCGAGCCGATTCCACAGTTTAGGGACCGCGGCGTTTTTTACATACACAAATATATAAATAATAAGGCGTTCAAGCAAAATGTCAATTGCTAACACTTTATTCAAAAGTACTCTCCTGAGTCACTTTTGTATCTAAAACATTAACAATTTTTACATTATCAAGTAAAACCGACTGAGCAACCTGGCTATCACAGATCACAGCTCAAGGAAATGAGACAAATAATAGTGTGAGACAAATAATAGTGTTCTGATAACGAATACATAAACTACCCTTTTCATTATCTGAATCAACAATGAAAGTATTCTGTACCTATCAACGCATTAATCTGAATTTCAAGTCCGAGGATACAGGGCGGCCATTCTGCGCATTTTAAAAATGAAAACTGAAAAAATAAAAAACATTTAACAATCGAATGGCCTCTGTTTTGTTTGTTTGTTCACAAACCATAATGTATTAATCACCTTCCGATTACTGTATACGCCTGCATTCACCTCCGATTGACCAACAACAAAGAAGTTATTGATGCTTGTGAACGTAATTC